ATCAAACTCGACTGCTCCTCACAGCAGCCACCCCGTCTATCCCACTGGGACGTTTAGCATAAGAGTCAGATGAGTCAACATTGACTTTGATATCATTTATTATATGACTAGTTTATTAAAGCATGCAACACCAATACTTAAAATGCCCAGCAGAGAAAATTGGTTGTCATGTTGCATGAAAAATTAAAAGAAAAAAATTCATAGAGTCGACAGTGAAAAACGAAAAATTGATTTTCCATTTCATCAATTTTCTCTGGTTTTTCTCATTTCTGTCGTTTTTAGTACATTTATGACTTGTGATATTTTGTTCGATAGCCCTTTCGCAAGTACCTTCTATATCAGGTCTTTACATCATCAATCAACCAGCAAGGAGACAGCAAAAAGGGTAACCCTCGCATGAGGATGAAACAATGAAACCTGTCTCAAGGCTGGTTGCTCTCAAAAAATGAAAATTTATACTAACAAAATAAAAAATTTTCATGGAAGCTTTGTGCTAAAGTGGCCATTAGATGCCAGGACTCGAACGGGATGATTAGCAAGGAACGGAGGCTGCAAAAATGGAATGTGGCTTGGCACTGCTAATGGTTGCTGTCCACCGGCAATGAAAGGTTGAGGTACAGAAAGCTGCAATGCTTGGCCTGGTGGATTTCCTACAATCACAAAGGGTTGCATTGAGAACAAAATGACATTGCAATATATCTCAAAAGTACAATAATTCAGTTATGGCATCAATTGCATTCTCCTTTTAAGGCTATTTTGTTCTATTTAACGAGGACAAGGGACAAATTACACATGCAAATACCTTGGTGTTTCAGAAATTGAACATGATGCGGAGTCAATGGAGGACATGCAGGTACCGGAGTGATAGCTGTTGCACCTTGAAGCAAATCCTTCATAAAAAATTAAACACAATTCAGTAATTAAGTAATAAAACAACATTTCTCTCCTTTGACTACACGAATGCAAGATTGTCTATTTGCAGTATGCCATTTTTCTTTATCTGTTTTTAAATTAACTAACAGGGCAAGTCACTGTATGACTCTAAATTCCCTCACTTTATCCACACTGGGGACATTTTTGCCTGGGAGGGAAAAATTATGCATCATATTTAATTCCATCACTAATGGACAGGATGAAAGTAAATGAGATTGGTTCTCCTGTAACAGGGAAAAAAGAAGAAAATGACAAAGAAAAAGTAAGATGGCTAGACAAATCATCGGCTATGGTTGTCCAGATGAAATATTGTTGTAAACTCATATAGCAAAAAATTTGGAAGGACAGATCAAAAGATTTGTCCTGCTATAATACATGTGAACTAATAAGTTGATGTAAGTATTGCTCTAATTGGGATGCATCGCAAGATTCATCCGATTGTCCTACCACATCCTAAATGTGGATTCTCCTGCCACAACCTAAATGTGGGCAAAGATAGATCTCAGCCAAGTATTGGTCTTATGAGTCTCTAGCAAATAGTCTATATTTTCTTTTAAACACTAGAAACTCTCATGTTAGGGTGCTTTAATGATAACAAGGCCAATCCATTAGTTTGAGGGTACCGCATCTTACATGAGAAACAGGCAGATAAATGAGCTGTCCCATCCGTCCAAACATAACCTACAGAAAGAAATGGGTGGACAGAAAGAGATTAGTACTCATAAATGGCGCCTTCATCAGCAAAAAAGTTAAAAAGTATCATAATTCCTGCCCCCATCAAGGCAGGCAAAAAAGAAACTAAATTGACATAGGGTGAAGGTTCCTTTTTTTGGTTATAGCTTGAGAATTTGGATTCAAATATGCTGATGCAGCCTGAACAGCATGATATTGACCAGCATATCTAAGTTGATGTGTTTGACTCCCCGTATGGCCAACAATCTGTAGCCAAAATACATAAATGATGTTAGTAATATAATCAGAATTACAGATACTTCACAAAGAAATATAGGAATAACTCTCTAAGTCCTTGGACAGTTGACATAATAGCCATATGAACACTCAAAGAGGCTACTGCAAATGACACCAAAATCATTTGTCATGGTTGGAGTTTGAGCAGTAATTCATTAGAAAGGATACAAATCAATATTGATGAAATAGCTTATGGTTTAAAAAGAGTACTGATGTATATATAGCCTGACAGATTTCAAATGCAGCCAAGAAATTTTCAAGTCCTTTGAGGAAGATATTTAAATGAGACAATGAGAAATATAAAAAGAGAAAGAAAATGATGGAAAAATGGAGAGGAGGTACCTGCGGTACATGTGATCCCTATAGGCAGTCTAGTATTGGATATCATGGAAAATAAAAAATCTAACATTAAGATTATCGAACTACAAAAGCCAATAGAACACGTAGAGGTTGAGAAAATTGAGAACCACTGACACCAGTTGCAGCTGTTATGTTACCATAAGAGGCAATCTTAGAAGTAGCAGACGAACGAGGTGCAAAAGTGCCAAACCGAACCTCTGGCTGAGAACCAGCAACAGCTACCATAGGAGGGTTGCCTGATATTTGAGACACATTTGCTACTGTTGGCACTATTGGAGTATCATGAGGTGCTCCACTAAGCAATAGCTTAATTGTCATCTCAGCATTTCCTTCAACAGGTTTTACTTCAGTAAGGCAGGTATCCACTGCAAAAATTTAACAGTAAAACAGATTGGAGAATAAACACAGGTTCGGACTTACAATAATGGTGAAAACTCATGATACTACATAACAAAAACCACAGCATAATCTACCGAGAAAATCTAGATAGCATTCAAACAATTTGGCAGAGAGACCATCTTAAGTGTATTTCATCATATAAAAAGGTTGAGTTAAGAATATTAATGAGCAAAAGATGGCAAGCCTCATTTTCATAGTTCTTCATGTGCAGTTAAAAAGATCAGAAGTGTAAACTTCCTTAGCCGGTTCTCTGACTTCAAGCTAACATAACGAGGCTGAAACCTCAGTGTGCACCAAGGACATCAATATACAACTCTTTACCATAAAACTACTGTTGACAACTCAAAAGACTATTAATATAATGAAACTTTCACAGTTAGACAAGGCATGCCATTTTTGCCATTTAGAGGAGATTCAAATAGTTTCAAACCTGGCTTAAGAGTATCAAGAGCAGAAGACTCACGGCTTGAAACTGAATGTTGAACTTCCTTGGCCTGCAGAAAATAATTTGCTTAATGAGTGGAATATTAGCTTTAATTCAAGGTTTTATGTAAAGAAAACAGGTAAGCTTTTCATGACTTACATCCTCTTCAACATGAAACTCAAATTTTTGGTCATATTCATCCTGCAAAAGCTGCGATGAATCATCCCCAACCACTCTGTCAGAAAATTAAATGATAGGAATCTGATAATAAGAAAGATAAAATGTTGCTGTACATATCAAAACATAAAAAGGCTATCCATTGGAATAATGTTTTGCACATATGGAAGGAATCTGACATGAATATGATGACTGCCAAGTTATCTATACCTAACACAAGCATGAGTTAGGGTGTTCAAAACAGAACTTTCATTTCTTTTCTTTAAGCAATGAAATGAGCAATTATATTCATAAAACTAAAGCAGGGGCCTGAATAGAAAGGGCAAAGAGAAAAACAAATAGAAGCAATATTTTTTACACTCAAGTTCATAAAGCATTCTTTACATTCTGGATGACCAAGTTGCTTTAAAACTTTTCCTTAACCTCCTGTAACAGATGTGAATGTAATTTCGTAGTACTAGCATAAAAACATTATAAAGAGACAAGAAAAACAAATGGGATAAGTTAAATAAACACACTTTTCTCCTTTTCGGGAATCTTATGAGTAGGAGACAAGTGAAACAAGTTAAAACTTCTAGAGACCAACTGCAGCTCTTGGACTAGGTATAATCTAGTCTTTTTCTGTGCATGTTAATGCCTAAACATGGATCTCTCAACCAGAAAAAGGCATTTTCTTTTTGCCGATACGATGATCTGAAATATAGTGTGGCAGTTGACCAACAAGAATAAAACTTAAAGAAAAATCAATATTTTACCTTCCAGCAACAGTGGCACTAAAAGCATCATTTGATTCTTTGCCCTGAATTGTGAAAAAAAAAAAAATGGGAACTTCTGAAAGAGAATAATGAAAAGATGCATCAACACTCTCAGCCAATATTTTCCTACAGAAGGTATGCTATTATCAAACTGATTCCTTTACTTTATAGTTTTCTTGAAAAAAGCACCAGCCTGTCAGATGATATAAGCAATATGATTGGATTTTCCACAGGAAGCAGAAAAACATTTCAGAAATGGTTGAAGCATCTTTATCAAACTGATGCCCAACAAGAAGGCCATCCTCAACTCTTTTTTATATATAATTAAAAGATAAAAAATATTTGTCAATAACTATTTGAAATCTGCTTCACATTCTCCTAAAAAAGAAAGGCTTAACTAAAAGATAGTTTTGAACTGGAAAAGTTTACCTGTTCAATGTTTGTCCCGTCTCTTGTCTGATACTCAACTTCCTTCGCATTTCCCATAGGATTCTGTGGCAACTTTCCACCTTCCTGCTCCTTTCCAGATTTTGTGGGTATAAAACCATCAGCAAAACCATTCTCATTTTGGACTGAATTGCTGCTTTGATAGAAAAAATAAAATGACTATACACTAGCCATAAAAATAATAATAAAACCAAAATTTCTGTATCCTTGACACAAATCTCTATCAACTACCTTTTCCTATTACTTTTTATTTTATCCAAGGTAGAATTATTGAATTTCTTGGCCCCACTCAGTGGATTGGCAGAGGAAGGGAGAATTTCAAAAGCAGTTTCTCCATTACCACAAGCTATATTTCCGGCAAAACCATTGAAAGGAAGCGGAACTCCCTACACACAACATCAATACAAGTCAAACATATCATTCAATGTTCATCAAACAAATAAAATTCCCAAGAGCCAAGACAATGGCAATAGGAGTGATTACACCTTAGCAACAACTTGAACAAGATCACCAGTGAGGATTACAAACGTCTCCACTACACTGCCATTTGCAACATTGGTGGCACATCTCCCCCTTTTAGTCAATTTTGCTTTCTTCAAAACAATACCTAATGAAACAGAAACTATATAAATAATCATCCTCAAAATTCAACATAGCAAATAAAGATAGAAAACATCAACTAACAGAAAAAAGCAGTGTTAACAACAAGCTTACCTCCGCAAAAGAAAAGATTCAAGGACATCATTTTGTACTGTTTTGGTTTCCAAAGGGTAAAATGTCACCTTAATTGAGCTATATTTCATATTAGACAGTGTTCACTTTGTCTAATCCTTGCTTTGTGCTACTTTCTTTTTAACTTCCACAAAAGACTAAAAATCAAAATAGCAAATGACTTGAATGTAAAACACAACCAAACATAATTTTCCCCTATAAAAGCAAAAAGCAAGTAAGAAAAAATACAACAAAAATAGAGTCTTAGATAAAAATGTCTCCTTTAATCTGATCCCGACAACAATAATTCCCCTTATTCAAGCAGTTAACTCCATGTCTATGTTAAAATTGTAACCTTTGCATAAAAAACAATAAGAATAATTAGTTATTTATTTCTTAGTAACCAAATAGATAGACAAGTAGAAAACAGCATGAAAAAAAAAAAGGAGAAACCAATTTGATCTCATCCAAGTTACAAGCAAAATCACCATAATTAAATAAAAAAACCAAAACCCAGATACAGTTTCAATCAACAATCAAAACCCAGAATTTTTTCCAACAAAAGAACTACTGCCAAAAGAAACCCAGAAAAGCTCAAAACAGGGAAGCAAAACGCACCATATTCCTTCTCAACAGAAGCAGTATAGAAGATTCCAGAGTAAACGGAGCCATCTTTCAAATGCACATCCACTGGCAAGCCAATGATGCACATGGTAGCAAACAGCAAAGCTTCGTTCATCGGACGCTTCTCTTCTTCTGCTCTGTTTTTACCCTTTTTGCTATGCTTTCAGTTGGTTCAATGGGGACTTTTTTTCTTATATAAAGCTGGTAACTTTAATAGCTGAATATACAGAGAGAGAGAGATTTGAAGTATCAGTGGGGTCGATTGAATACAGAGAATTGGAAAGGTTAAATATGTTTGTCTCAAATAAATATCATCTCCAATTTGACTTTAAACAAAGAAAATATTGTTCTTTTATATGCATTATTAATTTCATTAAATTATATATATATTTTAATTTGATCATAATATCAAATTTTGTTTAAATTTAATTTTTTTAATATTAATTTGACGAATTTAAAATTTTATACTTAAGATGTTTTTAACAAAATTGAATTTATATTGATAAAGACAAATAGTTCAATCAAATTATAAAAAAATAAATCAATTTCATAAATGTGCCTATTATACATGAAAAAAGATATTTTTCACTACTTAAAAATTAACAAAAGTTGTTGGCCCCAGGAAGCCTAACAATTGGATGCTCCCCATCTTTGCCGACATATTTTCAGGGTTCAGACGGAAAAATCTGATCACTTAACTGGTTGTTTAACATGGGCGAACCAGTTTTCGGAAAACCACAATGAATTGCTTCAAATAGAACTTGACAAAATCCGAAAGCTTCATCCCAATGTCAACATATTTTTTGCTGACTCTTACAACACTGCATTGTGTATTTACCATTCTCCAAATCAATTTGGTACTTTTCACTTTCTTTATAAGAAGAAAATTTAGGTTTAATGTCATCAAAATACGGCCTGTTTACATGAACCCTTTTGGGATGATTCCAGTATTCAGAGAAACTCCAAGGCATGCTGTGGAATGGGAGGTCTATACAATTACAATTCATCGATAACTTGTGGTTATCCGCCTCTAAGAAGCTGCTGCAATGACCCTTCGTTTGTAAACTGGGATGGCGTCCATTCTACAGAAGCAAGCTACAGATTTCTCTGCAGGGCTAATTGGAAGGATTGAACACCATTCCTGGTTTATATAGCTTGTGTCCCTCGTTAACTGTAAACAAAAAACCTAGCAGTAGCTGAGATTTTATATCCAGTGGGATTGATATATTTATTTGGCACTTTTTTTCTGTTACTTTCTTATATTGTCGAATGAAAGAATTTTCATTAGAATTTACATCCTTTGTAACCAGAAGGTCATGAGTTCGTATCTTAAAAAATAGTCTCTTTGTAAAAATGCAGAGAAAAAGTTGCATATTATAAACCCGTGCCAACCATCGCAAAGCGGTTAACCTGTGCCAAACCTCGCAAAGCGGAAAGCCTGTGCACCGGGTTTCCTTTTTTTTTTTTTTTGGTTTATTATGCTAAACTTGTGTAACTAATAACTATTTTGACCCATGTTCTAATTTCTTTTTCTTGTTTGGGGCTAAAACAGGTGACTTCAAGCTTAATGAAAATAAAAATGCAATAAGGCCGAAGGCGAAAATGAATTGGCTTTGGTATTGATCAAAATTCAAGTTGAAAAGTGAAGATGAGTTCATCTTTACAGACGATCAGCGCAAGTCAAATGTCAGATTTCACTTAAAAACACTGCATTGCTTTAATTTTCTTACTAGTCAAGGATCAGTGAAATAACTTGTAAGTTATAACATAGACAAGTTCCTACCATTTCAAATCAACTGATTTTTCATAAGGATTCAACTACCCAACCATGGCTTTTGTTTCCTTTAATAGGATGGTTTCGGTTTTATTGATCAATATTAGACACATCAATAATTTGACTAACAACATTAGTCCATGATACAAAATGCTCAGTAAAAACAAAGTTCAGATGCTTAATTATTAATTTTTCTATAAATATCAAATCATTCAAAGTAATACAATTCAATGACCAAATTATATATTTTCCCATTTCCTATTTATAATATTTGAGGAAAATTCTTCCCCTTTTACTATTTTTTTAATTGAATAGAATTAGCAGGTATCTATATTATATTAAGACAAGAAAAGCAAAAAAAAAAAAAAAAAAGAGAACTGAATTGACACATAGGAAGCATAATAATAGTAACCATTAAAAAGCATCAATCCAAACAACTGCTAAGGTATATAATATTAGGAAAAAAAAATAAAACTTTCAACATCACAGAGAAGAAGAGAGGTTTAAGAGATGGGAAAGAGCCCAAGAAAGGCAAGCAAAAATCATCATAAAGAAGAAGAAGAAGAAGAAGAACAGACATCGTACAGCGACCAATGAAAACCCACAACCTTAATACATATCGGATCAAAACAACACCTGAAAGTGCCTCAGATCAGATCAGAGTAAACCAGTTTCAATAGACAGCACCTCACTGCAAAATACAATAAAACAAGACAAAGTAAGCACAATTGTATATAATATCAATGAAATGATCATCAAGCACTTGTTGAATGGCAGATGTAATCTGCATTTTAGACACCGAGTTTAAAGAGGCAATATAAAACAGCATACACAACCTTTTCATTTCATTTTCTTTTTTGGCCTTCCATGCTACCGAGTAACAAAGGGTCAAAAAAATTCAGCATACATACATTTTTTCCGCTTTCTCTAGGAGCAAGGAATAACTGTGAAAATAAGAATAACTCGTAAAATCACTTTTACCTGCTGTGGTTGCTGGTAAGCCCCCGGCTGCTGGTAATTCCCATATCCAGGATAGCCCCCATAGTACATGTTAGGATCTTGGGGAGGCGGTGCATATCCATATGCTTCATATCCTTGAGCATATCCATAATATCCACCATTCCACTGGGCCTGATCTGGTTGAGCCTGAAACTAGAATAGACTCCCTCTTAGTTTGCCGAAATATATGTAGAATGGCTTTAAAAACTACAGTTTTAAATACAAAACCTGTTTGCTTGAAGGACTACGTCCCCATGAAAGTCGAACATTTCTTCCTCCTAAAACAGTACCATTCAAAACTGATAAAGCTTGCTCCGCACTAGTCCTGAAGTACATCATATCGCAGAATACCTTAATATCATGCAATAATATTTCCCATGCATAATAGTATTTACCATTTACCTGTTAGCATATTGAACAAAACCACAATTCTTGTTAGCAGGAATTTTTACATGAACTACCTCACCAAGCTGGCTAAATATTTGTTTTAATTGGTCTTCAGAAACACTGGGATCCAAACCACCAACAAATATCTGCATTTATGCTTGTAAGATTTCAGTTGCCTATAACATGAAATAAAAGTATATTAATATATAAACAAAAGCTACTCACTGTGGTATTATTTGGATCATTCTCACCAGGACTTCCTTGCGCATTCTGGTAAGTAGCTGCAAATCATAAAACAGGTAAACTACCATAAAATGGGATGATAATAAGAGATAATGATATAAAGTGGAAAGGCATGGATGTGCCATCCCTGAATCTTAATGTTTTCCTATTACTACAGAAACTCAAAACTAATTCAACAAGACATCTTCCAAAAGTATGAAAACTCCAAACCTGTTGACAGACATCATGTAACAAGTTTACAGTTATAGCAATATTGCTTATCTAAACTCAAATTAAACACTATTGGAAAAAGATGATGCATTGAGATAATTTCATACACATGGATACAAAGAACATTTCAATAAGCAGTTCAAAATAATTCCCCCCATGGCACGCAAAAGAACAAAAATGTAGAACCACCAGCTATATATCACTCAACAGTTACAACTGCAACCATAAACATCCTTTGGGTTACATCAAGGCTTACCATCACCAGGCGAAATCAAATGTATCAGACTAAATTAATTCAATATTAGCTGAAAAAGAAATCATTAATTACACTAAACTCAGTAAGTAAAAGTCCTCTTATTTCATTAGCCTTTATAATAGTGTGAAAAAGGGAAAAGCAAAATTGAAATCAGAGACACAACTTTTCTCCTCACGTTCTTTTTCTTTCTTTTCTTTCACCAATTTTTGGACGGGGGAGAGGAGGCAAGGGGAGGGAGTTGATGGACCTAAAATTGAATGATTTACAAGTTCAACTTCAAAGATTACTTTCAATTAGAAAGAACCTATCTTCTAAACTAATTCAGTAATGCTTTAACATTCTCTGCATACACAGAAACCTATAAAGACTATTAGCAGCCACAAAATGGCAAGATGAAGCACATATTTAAAACCAACAAATTTCTTCTAAACTTGAAATGACGTACAACCTCAAATGACAAGCGGAAAACAAAATGTCTCCAAAATACAATATTAATAAGGTAGATTCATATGCGGCTGCAAATTCATTATTTAGGCATAGGCAATAAAGAAGGACGAGTGATCCAATTCCATTGAGGTTAAATCCATCAACTAAAATGCCTTTAACTACAAATTCCGGGTTTCTTTTCTGACTCTATTTGTCCTCATGTGCAACAGAGCAACAGAATGAAGACAAAGAAGTTACTGTAACTATAAAAAGAAGCACAGATTCGAAATGCAATAGAACAAAACTAGCCCCAAGGTTCATTAAGAGAATGGCTCATGATAACAGGCACGGCAACTTTACAGATGGCTGCTTCACCTAGTTTCAAGCATTATAGCTTGAATTTAAAGGAAACAAAAAGGAGTGTGTAAACATATGCAAGTATTAAAAGGGAACCCATCCATGAAGAACAAAGTTTCTGGACTTGTATACTCAATAAGGAACTGGAAAAGTAATTTGTGAATGTAGCACAAATACTGCCTCAAGAAAATGAAGCCTACGACATAAACAAAGTAACTGACCTAAAATGAGGCCACGCATTAAAGTGGAATCATTTCAGCTGATATCAGTTCCAGGCCCCCCAAAATGAGAGCCTCTCGGTGTCCTGCTTTAAGACAACATGAGTTTTATATAAGTTTTTGCATGTTTTAATATAATTAAACGTGCCCAAGTTTACAAAGGCAAACTGGAAGGAAACGACTTTGTATAAATTCCGCCAATCTTCAAGTGCATAACTAAAAGAATTCGAATTTTAAGGACACTGTAACAACTGCACCTCAGAAAATTAAAACCCAAAACAAAATAATAATAATAATAACCAACTAGCATTCAACTTGTAAAGTCAAAGTACTCTAGAATAAATTGTGGCCAATAGAAATTATACACAAACAAACAAACTTCATACGGTAATCAAGATATAAAGAGTTAACTTTAGATAAACCACAAGAGTGTACCTTTCTGATACTGCTGTCCAGTGACAGGCTTCTTATTAGAAGCTGGTCCAATCCGCATTGCCCTTGTAGAACAATAAATCCCATTCATTTCGGTCATGGCACGAATCTGCTCAGTTTCATCACCAAATTTCACAAATCCATAACCTTTCGACCGTCCTGTAGTCCTATCAGTAACCACTTTGGCACCCTTAACAGATGGGTAAACAGCTTTAAAAGTCTCTTGTAACATGTAATCCGAAACATCTGCAGCTAAATCCCCAACAAAGATTGTGTAATCAGGACCCTCTTCTTGCCTCTTTTCCCCATATCCGAGTGCTGCCCAATTCAACCTAAAATTCTGCTCAGAATTTGGCATTGCCACCCCATTATACGACTGCAAAATCCTCTCAGCTGCTGCATGTGAAACAAACTCAATAAACCCATATCCCTCTGGTAGACTCGTTTGCTTATTCCTAATCACCTTAGCTGAAACCACCTATTAAAAACCCAACAGAGTTAGCTTTGTTGAATTGTCACTTCCACTATTTTTTTTTTTTTGCCAGACCTTAAAAGCAAGAGAAAAGAAATTCATTTAAATATAGAAAGAAATAATATTTTTAATTATTAAAATTAAATAAAAAATTTTTTTTTCACTATTTTCTTAGGGTTCCTTTTTTTTTTTTTTTTTCTAAAATCCCCTATTTTTTCTTAATAATATAATTAACAAATTAATTACCTCTCCAGTGTGAGCGAAGATGCTGATGAGGTAATTCTCATCCATCCACTGCTGAAGATCACCGATCCAGAGAGATCGAAACTCGCCGGAGCCGACAGCAGCGGAACCGGCGGTGTATTGCTGCATCTGAGAGGGCGGAGGGACGGGTTGCGGATTCCAAGCGGAAGGTGGAGGAACCGGCTGACCCGCCTGCTGCTGTTGTTGAGACATCATCATCCACTGCTGCGACTGCGGCTGTGGCTGGTACTGGTGGGCTTGAGAATGATCAAGTGCCATGGACGGTGGCGGAGCTACGCCTCCTGATGCTGGTTGTTGCATCATATTTGATAGACAAAGGGAAGAGATTTGGGAGATCTCGGAGAGAAGAGAGGAAACCCTAGCGGAAATTTTCTATTTTAGTTTTAATTTGGAAATCGAAATTTTATAAAGAGGGATGGGCTTTGAAAAAGAGTAGTTTTTTTATTTTGGGTTAACGCGGAGGATCACTGTGTGGTGACACGTGGACAATGATAATTGGATGGGTCTTGGCAGCCTTTGTCAAGGAAAAGTTGGGGTTGGGCTTGTTGCGGGGTGGATTTGGGTTAAATTTTTAAAGGTTAATATCATTAATAAATTTTAAATTATAATAAAATATTTAATATAATATTTAGATTTTAAAATTTTTAATGTAATATTTGAATTATAAATTAATTAATTAAAATAATATTTAATTTTAATATGATTAATTTTAAATATTGAGATGTTAAATACTGCATTAATTAATAAATTTACAATTTAAGTAAAGCATTAGAGATTTTTTAAATTTAAAAAATTATTAAATATTTTTTATAATTTAAAAATTATTCATGATATTAACTTAAAAAATAAAAGAAGCCAAATCTAAATAAATTTTACATTAACAATTATATGAATTAATTTAATTAAATTTTGGATTAAAATTTTTATTTTTTAATTGTTTTATAGAATTAAAAACTCTTTCAATTAAACTTGTAGTAAATTTTAATTTCTTACAAAAAAATAATTTTAAATCAGACAAATTTATCTATATGGAATCAAATAAATATATAAACATTATTTTCTCACATCCTTTTAATAAATGTAATATAGACAATCTTTAAAACCGACAGAATATAAGCTTTTTTTTCCTTATTTTACGCGATTATAAAAGATCTATTTTTTATCACATAAATTTGACATGTAAAAAAAATCTTTGGACAAAAGTTTCATATACAACTTTAATATGTTGAAAAAAACCCTTCATGTTTATTTTATGTTAAATTTTCTTTTTTCTATTCTTTGATATGTATGTCTTTTCTATTTAGGTAAAGAGTGATTTTAGCATGTTTTAACAAGTTAATACACATATGAATAACAAATCACAAATACATTGTTTTGTTTTAGTTTCCCTTGGTAGTCATCTTTTAACTTGAATTTGTGAGATTAAATTAAATTTGTTATTGGAGCCTTTTGAGAGTATAGGCATAGATTGCTTAAATTTGTAATGTTGAACTTGCTTAAATATTAGAACAAAGCTATCTTTCATGGTTTGTCAAAAAAATTATTTTTGGTGATATTAGGTATTTTTAGTATTTTCCACATTTATAGAGAGCAAACTTTTGAATTTGTCTAATTCTTACTTATTTAATTGCATAGATAACCTAAATTTTTTATGTCAAATTTACCCAAATTGTAGAATTATGTTGTCTTACTTGATTTGTTATTAAATTTGGGTGATTTTAGCCATTTTTTGAACTGTACAATTGTTTCTCATTTAGGCCAATGGATAGCTTAGGTTTGTGATATTAATGTTGCTCAAATGTTAGAACAAATCTTACTTGCTTGTTTGTCAAAAAAATTTGTGATTTTAGGTTTTTTAAGCATTTCTCATCTCTTAAAATTTTTAAACCAAATTCTTTGCTCATTTAGATATATAGATAATTTAAACTTAATATATTAAACTTATTTAAATGTTAAATAAGGTTATGAGTTTTTTTTCACTACCATTTTTAGCATTATTAGTTAGTAAAACCAATTATTGATTTAATTGCAGAAAGAATTTTATTGGTTAAGTTTGTTAAGGTGAGATTTTGCATTTTTCTGTTAATTATTTTGTTATTTTTTTGTCAAATTTAATTTATAATTGGATTGTTCTTTTCTACACTTTTCATGATCTTCAAGGTAAATTTTCAAGCATATCCAATTATTCTTCATTTTTTAAATATGTGTTACTTTTGTATTTTTGTATTAATTATTTCTATTCCTTAAAGGTAATTATTAATGCTATGTCAATGGGCTTAGAGCATTCTTGACGAGTTAAAAATTTTATTATATTGAGTCTTTGAATACTTTAAATATAAAAATTATCGAATTAATTTTATTGTTAATACAATTATAATGCATTTTAATTAATTGAGACTCAAATCCAAAAGATAAAAGTTATTAAATTAATTTTATTGTTAAAATGATAAATAGGTTGTTGTCATTGCTTGTGAGTTTTGCCTAATTGCATTATAATTGAGTGTCTTATAGTTTTAAGGTTCATTTTTTTAACAAGCATTTTTGTTATAATAAGGAAAAATGCCAAAAGAAACTTCAATGTCTTGCAACAAAGATTCTAGGTGTTGAAATGTATAATGAGGATATAAGGCTTGCTTAATTTATTAAGCAATTGTAAGACGAATCAAAGAGTTCTATGATAATTTTTCTTTTTAAACATGTTGAACTTAACTCATATTTGCTATTCTATTAATCTTGCCTTTAAGCTAAAATTTATATATATATATATTGTATATATATATATATGTATGTATCGTATAACTTATAATACTATTATAGAGAAAAATTATAAAAGATCATATACATTAGTCAAAAAAATATAAATCGACTTACATTCTAAATATATTATATATATATATTACATATTTTTAAAGTATCAATATTTCTTTTCCTATGTATCTCGGGTTGGACGCTAGTGTCTTAAATATATATTTATTGCGAAATAGAAAAAATAAATAAATAATATGGAAAATGGAGATATTGTTGGAAGAAAAATTAAAAAAAAAATTTACCAAAAAAATAAAAAGGAAAATTTAGTTATTTATTTTTTAACTTCTTTGATTTTTTTTTTTTTAAATATGAACTTCAAATTTGCCTTATCTCAAAACTAAATACCACAATGTCATTACAAAGAAAAACAATACTGTACTATTTAATCTGAATTATTAGATTTATTTAGCAATTTTTTATATTTCATTTGGTTAATTTATTTAAAATTTTTAATTTCAGGAAAAATTGTATAATAAAATACTATTAAGACTGAGACATATAACTATTTTTTTCTCTCTCTTTGGTATTTTTAAGAATGGAGGTTGCATTTTACATTATTTCTTTTGCAACACAGTTTTTTTTTTTTTCTCAAATTTCATAGTTTTTTTAATTTAAGGGTTTGATTAAATTGACTTATATAATTATTTTTAAAAAATTACATTCAATAATATTAAAATTTAAATTTTAATATCCGCAATATTTTTTTATCAGGAAACACATTAGGCTTAAGGATGCCTAAGGTTTCATAAACAATGAGGAAAGGATTGGCATATCATGCAATTAAGACCAACTATACCAAAAAGTATGCAGAAAATTTCAGAGCATGATCAATTAATTGCTGATAATTTAACTTCACAGAAGCAAGCGATTACAATGCATCAGTGTATATAAATGAATAAAAACTGAATATGTTCGTAAATAATTCGTTGAAAACTCTGATCATTTACGTGTCCACTATTGATTAGGAGGCATCATTAATTGGTTTTCTCAGTCATCACTGTCACTAATCTCACATACTAAAAATTTAGCCATAGATAAATTCTTGTATCGTAACAGTTCCCTATCCCTGAATTTGCTAAGAGGAGTAGGAGGCCTTTGTTTGTTGGACATTTTAATGTCATTTGAGGCTATGATAATTCACTTCCCAATTTCACTACTTATGAACTTATGCCTTGGAATTCCAGTAGTTCGGTCCGCTGGAGACGGAAACAATGATTGCTTTGAGGGCTTAATTTCTGATCATAAATGCTGGTGAGGCACCAATTTGTATGCTTGAGGCCTTGTGCAGTAGCTGTCTGCTTTTATGCTCAGTTGTTCTTCTGGCAGATCCTGAATGGCTTTACCAGTGCTTGGAGAATTGGCATTTTTTGGTCACTCCACTTTTGCTCATTCCATTATGTATAGTTCACAAGGTATCCATTGATGATACCGGCAGTGGATATGGCTTTCGATGAGATACCATCTGAACCTTTTAAAGTCGTTGCTTCCATATGGAGGAACTATGCTTCCTCTTGATGATGGAAAGCGTACTTATAGGCATAGATCAAAACAGATGATAAAAGCACGATTTTTAATGACAAAGACAATGGAAAGCAACATTTTTGAATAATTATGACAAAAAATTTTCACTTCATTAATAACTAGTTAAAATTTACAGCAACTGTCAAAAATTTCAAATAATACTTATACTAACTTGTTTAATATCAAAAGCTTGGTAGCATGCGACGACCCTGAGCACTAGGTTTTTCAGCTTGCAGCGGCTTCTTTTTTGATGCTTTTAACTGCTTCAACCTGTTAGCTATCCTTTGGCGGGAGTCTCCTTGTACTTGTTGCCTAGCATAAGCTTTGAATACCTCTGGATTGCACTTGGATTGAGGATTCACCACATAAACCATCGGGGTTGGTTCAGCCCTTGTAACAGCTTGGCTTGAAGAAGATGGTCCGGAGCTTAGCTTCTGCTCCTTGGAAACGTTGAAGTCCAAATCAGCCTCTATATATTGCAAGATTGCTGGTTTGCTTGCAGACTTTTTCATCACAGGAACGTTAACATCGTCTTTGCTTCTCAAGTCAGCGAAACTTGTACTCTTGTTAAATATGATTCGGCTCCATTTATCAATCAAATCCTTAGCCAGTTTTTTGTTGGAAGTTGTTTCCTCTTCAGATCTAGATAGAAACATAATCACCCTCCCAAGACCGCTTTTCTTGAGCTGCTCTCGTCGTTCTTGTTGCTTTAAATCGAGTGGGAAATCTGTCAAGATGTTCAAAATTGTGCCACGGATGGTTGCGTTTGGTAAGCTGCCATCAGGAAGGGGCTCTAGCCAATTCTTCAAGAGTGTCAGAACTCCACAATCCAAAAACTCTAGTTGAAAACTTTTCTTGGACAAAACCTCGGTAAGGAAAGGCAATTTTCGGAGTTTGTTGATGGCTGGTTGGCCTATTCTGTTGAGTTGTGCATCGTCTTCAGCTACGAGCTCAAGCTCAGCCATTATTTTCTCAACAAACAGGATGATTTCTTCAGAACTTTTCTCGATCTTTCTCCTCCTTTTAACAGCATCAAACATGGCATTGATTTCAGGATCATCTCCATGAAAATCCTTCCCTCCCTTTCTCTTCTTTTCTTCCACAATACCTTGGTTCTTCATCAAGCTATCCTTACGGGAAAAAGGATGGTAGACCATTATTCTAACGATAATACTGTAATCAAAGACTATACCTCAGCTCTGTATTTTTTTTTTTTTTAAGATTACTTTGGTTTCAGGCCATGAAAAGATGTATTTATAGGTGTCTGGAAATCCTAATCCTAGTAAGAATCATAGTGTTAATCCTACTAATAATAGGATTAGGAAGGTTCCTTGATCCAACTGTCAGGATTAAGTTCACTTTCTGACAGCTGCATTTGGTGTCTCATCATTTGTATACTGTGACGACTCATGCCCGATTTTGGAGGTGAGGAAAGCATCACAGAGGGCAGAAATGAGATCAATGCTGCAGTGGGGTTTCCTCAGGTGATTGGTCTCCTCCTTGACTAAGAAAATAAGTTAGATGATGTCATACTAGTCATTAAGATTACTGCAGCGCTTTTATTTTGGTGATACAGATATGGTTCACGTACACAACAATTTTTTTGAAAATTTAAAATATGATATAATTATGCATATAAAAATGATACGAATAAAAAATATAAAAATAATATAATTTAAAATTTAATAAAATTAAAAATTTATATTTTATATTTTTATATTGATAATATTTAATTTTTATATAAACTATAATTCGAACATAATATCTTATATTATATAATAATACAAATTGTGAGGTATACCTCTTCCTTTGACTGCTTAAGAATTAATTTATTTTAACAAGTAATTAAGTGATGCATCCTCTTTCACAACTTTAGAAGGTGGCTAAACTCTTAAATGGATCGTGTTCATAGCCCGTCTGAAAAGTACGAACTCAAGATCACATTTTGAGGCAATTTTTCTTTTATTTTTCTCTATTTCCTCATCAAAACGGTGAGTTTTGCAAATTAAATATTTTATTTATTTATTATTTCTTAAATATGTTTTTTAAAAAGTAATGATTTAATATGGTTTCTACCCAAAATATAAAAATAAAAAATTATAATCTCTAATTTTCTCAATAACGAAAAAAACATTTATTAATTCATACAAAAAATAACAAAAAATCATATAATAATGCATATAAAATATTACGGAGTACTTAATTTTAATTAATTATTAAATGAATAAAAGATGTTTTTGAATTAATATGAACCAAGTTATTGCCTTTATATATTTAGTTATTTATAAAATATATTTCTATCACTCAATTTACGTATTATTACTTTATAATAATCCTTTCATACGATTTAAAATAAAATACATAAAATAAATCATTAATAATACTAAATCATTTAATCTTTTATAATAATTAATATGTATATTTTATTACAATGATTAATGCATTAGATTATAATAATATCTTATCATGTGATACAAAATAAATCATTAACATTCTATTAATTTTGTCCTCAATAACTAAAACGACGACACATCACAAATTTTCAAAGCTTCAACATTATTTCTCACAGCTTTTGCTCTTTTTCGTTTGTTTCATATCAGTAACTATTTGTGAGAGGAAATTTTTTTTTTTGAAAAAATAAAATATTAATGGGTATTTTCAGTCTTTTGTGAAAAAGAAAACAAATTATTTTTAATTTTAAATTTCCAATCTTTTATCATTTCCTTCTTCTTTTTTTTTTTTATCAATCTTCAATTCTAACTTTTCGATATAATGTTATTATACCAATATAAACCAAATTAATTCTAATTGATAATAGATATGGGGATTTTGTGATATTTAATTGATTTGAGATTAATAGGCTTTCCTTTTTGTGTTGATGAGTTGTAAGGTGTTTTTATATGTTGAGTTATTAGTAAATTATTCTCTTTGTATTAAACGTTTTTTTTATTTTTTATTTTTTATTTTGAACTATTAATGGAAAGTTAACAAGTTAAAAAATACAGAAAACTTAACACTTTTATATAACTTTCCTTTGAAATGTCACAATTAATTTATACAACAATTCTAATTAATTTTTATATTTATATTTAATGCACTATCAACATATGTATTCTATGTACTATTAGTAAATTAGATAATGACATCTTAATAATAAAGTAAATCAGATGATGTCATCTCATTAATTAATAAATTTTTTAAAAAATATTAATTTTTATATATTTATTTTAAGGATTGATATTTACTTATTAATGAGGTGGCATCATCTAATTTACTGATAGTATATAAAATTTATATATTGACAGTATATCAAATATATACTCTTAATTTTTATCCAATTAGGATAACAAACAAATTATTCACCACAAGAAAATGAAAGATTAGTGGCAGTTTTGTAACGACGTTTCACTTACAAACGTTGCTAGTTTTCGTGTTTTTATAAAACTTAAGACGTTTATTATCAAAATGTTACTAAATATTCACATAGCGACGTTATTACTTATAAACGTCACCCAAGACTTGATATTAGCGGCGTTTGTCGACTAAAATACATGACGTTTATCGACTAAAATGCCTTGAATAATCTTATCTTAAAAATTTGAATGAATACTAAAAGTATTTTTTTGTAAAAAACGGCTTGAATAATCTCATTAAAAAATTGATAAAAAATTACTGAAGGTATTTTTGGCAGACAACACCTTCAATAATCCCATCATAAAAAAATATATGTGATTATTGAATGTGTTTTCTATAACAAACGCTTTTAATAATTCCACCAAAAAATTTCACAAGCTTATTGAAGGCGTTTTTAGTCAAAAACACCTTCAATAAATATCATATCAAAATTTTAGGATCGTACGATTGTTAACCATAAGGTGATAGGTTCAATCCTTCCCTTTAGTTTTTTTTTAGGTTTTTGCAGAGATTATTTGTAATTGATTATTCTAAGTATTTTTTGGGCAAAAATGCCTTTACAAATTACTTTAAAAAATTTTGGAGAGAATATTGAAGGCGTTTTTGACAAAAAAATGCCTTTAATAATCCATAGGAAAAATATTGAACCGATTCTTGAAAATGTTTTTGGCCAAACTCACCTTCAATAATTCAATCAATAAATTTTTAGTTTGGATTATTAAAGACGATTTTTGTCAAAAACACCTTCAATAATCCATAGACAAAAGTTTGGACGAATTATTGAAGGGATTTTTGGCATAAAACGCTTTTAATATTTCACATGATAAATTTGAATGGTCGGATTATTCAAGGCGTCTTTGATAGAAAAATGCCCTTAATAATCCATACGAAAAATATGGAACGGATTATTGAATGCATTTTTGACCGAAAGTGCCTTCATTAATCCATTAAATTAATTTTTAGTTGGTATTAATGAAGGTGATTTTTTTTAAATGCCTTTAATAATCCATACAAAAAAGTTAAAACGGATTCTTGAAGGCATTTTTTGCCCAAAATGCCTTTAATATTTCACACAATAAAATTTTAAGTGGGATTATCGAATGCGATTTTGGTAAAAAATACCTTCAATAACATTTTGTTAGAAATTATTCAAGGCGTTTTCTTGCTAAATATGCCTTTAATAATCCATAAAAAAAATATGGAATGAATTTTTGAAGTTGTTTTTGGGTGAAAGTGCCTTAAATAATCCAATCAAAAAAATTTTTAATAGAAATTATTAAAGGTGATTTTTGTTAAAAATACTTTCAATAATCCATACACAATATTTGGAATGAATTTTTAAAAGTAATTTTATCCCAAAACACCTTTATTATTCTACACAATATATTTTTAGGTGGGATTATTGAAGGTGATTTTGATTAAAAACGCCTTCAATAACATGTTGTTATGGATGATTCAAGGTATTTTCTTGCTAAAAATGCCTTCATTAATCCCATCAAAAAAATATTTTTGATATTGTATATGTCAAGTTAGTTGTAGGTTTATGCTTAGAAAAATTTGAAGTTAATTGTATATTTATGCCCAGAAAATATTTGGTTTATATATGTGATACTACGAATAACATTTTAAAATTTACATAATAAACATTGTTTTATTTCAATAATTTGACTACACATCCGAATTTAAAACTGATAATGTTGTCATATTAATATACTTTTCTAAAATAATCGTACTCAATAATATATTAAGTACATATAATGTATTCATATGAAGTATACCAATAATATTAAACCAATACCTCAATCTACAAATTTAAATTTTTCATTCAACATGGCATGTTAAAAATATTATAACAATTTGTTCCTCATATATTTACATTCAACTAATAATGTCTAACCTCAAAGTTTATCAACATTTATAAATGATAATATATATTCACACAATTCTTTACGGACTTCATCCAATTCCTCTATCGTGAAGCTTTTTTTACTTTTTCACTAAAATAAATCAGAAGTAAATGTTAATAAATGAGAACATAATTTAGCTTTTTATTTTTTTAAAAATATAACGAGTTTATGAAATCTATACTAACCTTAAATGGTGTGGTCATAAAATCATATAAAACTATCTTTCACATAAAATGAAGGACATAATATCCACATTCAGTATTATCAGGTTGACGAGGGACCTGAAAATTAAATTGAATGGGTTTAGAAAATATTTATCTACACAAACTTAGCATAAATGAATAAATTTCACATTCATCGGTAATGACACCGATTTTGATTTTTTTGTCTTCTTATCGAATACAAATATTACCTTAAACTAAAAAGAAAAAAATTACTTAATACATAAATAAAACTACTTATGAAAAAAATAGAAGATATATAATATAATAAAGTGTAATACCTCTTTATAAAAGTTTGAATATTGAGGTTAGGCATTGCCGTTGGATTAACTGAGTTAAGTAAGTATAGCGTTAAGGATTTAGTGTCAATCATAATAAGCACCCAATGATGATTGTAAAATAATAATAATGATATATTCAGATTATGCATCAGATCAGATTTGGGTAAGGTTGCAATATAACTTACTGTGTATTATGTGAGAGCAAATAATAATCAGTCGATCTTTTTATGCATTCAATCACATGATTAGCATGATAAGCTACTGTGCCATTCTGCTCACTAATGAAGTTGGGGTCAACGAATCTAAAGTTGTTGGTCAACTATCTCCTATTGAGCTCTCTATATAGGAAGCTGCACGATAACAATCAACAATGCTAGTTAGTATTACACCGTAATATAGATTAATACATATTGAATATGTGTATTTATATTTATAAGCTA